GCTGAAGAGGAAGAGGCTGCTCGAAAAGCTGCTGAAGAAGAGGCGGCGAGAAAACTTGCTGAAGAGGCAGCCGCTGCTGAAGCCGCAAGAATAGCTGAAGAGGAAGAGGCTGCTCGACAAGGTGCTGAAGAAGAGGCGGCGAGAAAACTTGCTGAAGAGGCAGCTGCTGCAGAAGCGGCGCGAATGGCTGAAGAGGAAGAGGCTGCTCGACAAGCTGCTGCAGAAGAGGCGGCCAGATAAGTGCTGATACCAGGCATACTTCTTGTGCATTTTGCATTTTGGATTGTTTGTCTCGCAAGCCTTTCGACGTAGGTTGCAACTTGTGCGTGAGACTCGATGTTGTTTGCTGCTTCACCTCCATATGATGCACACACATGCGGACAGGACTTGGCAAGACGGAATGGCGCAGTCACATACACTGTCGAGTTCCTATCTCTCGTGGTTGAGTTTGCCCTTCGCTTACTCAACAAAGACATACTCAGATGGAGTTGACTCCTGTTGCCCTAGTTACTGCAGCGTCAGTTGTGCATGGTGTCTTGAAGGAGAGCAGCTTGCTGGCCGAGGGTTGGACACAGCTGCAGGCGCAGGGGTGAGTCATAGGTGTGTCAGTCGTGGGAAAGTGCATTTTGACGCGAGTTTGCACAAGTTGATTCCTTATTATCTTATCTGACCACGTCGATGCGCCATGCCCCGGCTGAGCGCAGAGAATGCACTCCTGCACCCTACTTGCCTTGGCCTCTCCTCGCCACTGAAGTATCCCAGTGTGTTTCAGTTAAACTAAGATCCCTGAAGCTCCACCTTGCAACCTCTAAGCCCCGAGCTTCATCAGGAGCTTGAGGACAAGGCCGAGACCTCACCTGCAAAGGCGTCAGAGGCGTCGCTGAGGCGTGGTCGGATTGGGGATGTTTTGACCAGACCTCACGACTCCGTTCGCAGAACCTTGCGTGCAGAGTTTCTGTCTTCGCGGCCCCAGCTCTGGAGAGCTATCTTACGTGCTACCCGGGCGGGTAGAATGCTGAACCCCGGAAGCCCCTTGCACGAAGAAAGGAAAGAACGACCTTCAGTGAGTTTTACTGCACTCCGAACTTGAAGCTTTAAGACTACGACGATTCAAGAAGCTTGCTGAAGGAGTGACACGGCGGCAGCAGAGGAGACGACACCTCCGCCTTCAAACAAAGCGTTGGAGCCGGGCTCAGCTTTTGCACCTCAGGGTTTAGGGTTTAGGGTTTAGGTTACTCGTAGGGTTTAGGGGTTTAGGGTTGAAGGTGTCCTTCGATTTCTGTCTGGCCTTGGGGACTTATTTTTGTGATGATTACGATTAATACGGTCGTTTTTATCAAGTAACATCCCCTGGAGTGACTCCTGACGGTTTGCATGTGAGTGGTTTTGTTGTGCAGGCTCAAAAGTGCGCGAAATTGTGGTGTCAGCACATATTCACTGGCATGTTTGCCCGGGGGACGAGAGGGGTCACTTGGAATGGTGCATTTTGTGCGTTTTACGGTGGTTTTGAGGACATGATGAAGCAAGCGCTTAGGAAAAACTTTAGGACGATTTCACATTTATTCGCTTGGACGGGCAGTGGAGTACTGGCGCCTAAACCCATCATCATCGCCGTCGGTATTGGACTACAGCTTCACGAAAGTACCGTAAATACCGAGAAGTACGTCATCAGCCCCCGTCCCCAACTCCCCCTCCCCCCACCCCCCAACTTGCTAAAGCATGCTGAAACCCTACAAAATCGCAGGAGCCACTCGAGGGGATGTTAATTGGTAATAGTACTACTGCTATGAGGTCTGTGATGTGCAACAAGGGTCGATGTTTTCGAATCTGTAGCTTCTCCGGACATCAACCCCGGACTCCACATGCCCAAACGCTGAGAGTTCACCGGTAGACACCGGACTATGTCAGCGATGTCCTTATGTTCTTCAGACTCCCGGTGACGCCAGGCTTTAGGCCACTTGCGGTTTTATGGACCGAGCCAGGCTGTGCTTAGAGTTAGGGTGGATCTTAGATCGTGCTTAGGCTCTAGACCCTCCCTGCTCGCAAGTGTTTGGCAAGACTACTGTATCTATCTGTCTATCTATCTTTCTGTCCATCTCTCCAACTATCCTCAGAATTTGTTACATATAATGTATGTATTTATATATATATACACATGTGTATATATATATATAAATACATATATTTATGTTTATATTTATATGCATATTTACTTGTGCATGTACATATACCTTCTCGCCAGCTTGTCCTCCTCCGCAAGCGTCGGTCGAGATCGCCCTTAAATCATGTACCTGTTTCTCAATTTGCCTAATTGTAGGCGCACTGATTTCTGCGGCTTCCCCCCTCAAAGCAAATCACACGCCCTCTGCGAGTGGAACTCCAAGGAGTTGCTGGGGGAGTACGAAGACCGCGTCAAGGCCGTGTACGAGCGATACAATCCGGATCGACTATCTGCCACCCGGATTTACAAATCACGACCTTCTACTTTAGGCAGGAGGAAGAAAAGCCTGAGCAAAAGACCGCTGCCCTTATAGCAATCCCTTTTTTTGTTTGCGCGGCTCGAAAGCCGCCCCCCCAACGGACGAATTTCGGAGAACCCTTGCAGACTGGTGTTGAAGTTAATCTTTTGCTCGGATATAGCAAAGCTGGAGGTTTACAGTTTCTTCAAGTCTGGATTATCGTGTGTGTGTGTGTCTTACAAAAACGGGAGATATTAACGTGGGAGCCGGTCTTTCATGAGCCCTGGGCCTTTCTTTGCCGTTTAGCAGCCTGTCACCCTCACAGGGTGGAGGAGAAGCCGGCAGTCCTGCCTACCAAGGATGTGGATCAGATTCTGGGCGCCTCAGCTCAGCCTAAGAATGCTGTCATCCTGTTTTTTTGCCCTCGGCTTGCTAAGTTAAGCTTCTTATGTAAATGCATGATAGGGGATGGACGGTGCATCCTGATGCTTGCCTGCTCGGAGTGCTAGAATGCTGTGTTGGCGGCTCAGAGTCCCAGGTCCCAAACGAGTCTCCGGGCAGATGTGCCTAAGAAAACATGCAGAACAGGCCTAGGAACAGTAGATAGCTGCATGCATACATACCTTGCGAGATAAAGTAAGAAGGGTACATCGACTTACTTCTCCGTCAGCTTCATTCAGCAACTCATGCTCATAGCGCATGCGCTGTACGATGATATACAATGATGAAACACATTCATGTGTGTTGGTTTAGTGTTCTTTGGGCGCGCTTTCCTTTGCATGCGGCGAGCTGGCCAGCCAGTCTTGCTCATGAAATGGTGAGCACAGAAGCCACCTCATGTCGTTTCGACAAATCAACACAGACCGACAAAAGAAGCAATCCTCAACCCGTAACAGGCAAGAAGACACCCTGAGACCTGAGCCCCGCATCCCACCTTCAGGAAAATACCGCGAGCAGATCTTGAGCCGCCCTGCGGATGCTAACAATCCACAGGTCCTGTCCAGGTATCGCGAGCGCGTCTTGGCCACATGCAGGTGTGGGTAAACATATTGGGACCTTCTATGACTGGGATAGGGTTTTAGACAGTTAGGCCAGCGTACATCGCCCAAACTGTGCCTGCTGGAGCACCACTACTAGTCGCTTTAGGGCGCGGGATGTGTTTATGTACATCCTCGATCGGCTTTCGGGCAATGAGGCCTGGTATGAGGGGTTGTCTTGACGACTTTCTGTGGCTTGTACTAGTACAGGATTGCAACGTCCACTGTGACGCAATTAGGACATCTTGCGGGGGCTTGAAAGCCTTGTCAATATTAGCGCTAGCCTTCAGGGAACCCTTGCCTGCAGAGTTGCCTGAAGCTCTAGCCTGATTCACTGGCACCCGCTGCTCCAGAACCATCTTTCGCCACTCCCTTCTTTCCATGCACAGGTCTCGAGGGTCTCTACCGCGCTGTGCGTGCAAAGTACAGCGAGGAGGAGCCTGAGACAGATGCCGAGGCTCCCTTGGAATTGAGCTGATTGATAGAGACTCTACATTGGACTCTACATGTTTCATACGGCAAGAGCGCATGTGTGAGGGAAATCTTCGGCAAGAAGCGTTGCCTGCACCTCCTAATCCAATATTTTGCGCGCGAAGTGCAACCTGCAGGAACGAAGGGCTCTCTACACACGGCACATCACAGCCTCCTGGCCCACTTGGAAGAAAACTCGTTTGCCGTCGTTTGGAGCTGGTTCTGGCAGTTTGCGATTGCGTGGCCGTAAGTTGATGCTGCAAAGCTTAATGTGTGGCGAGTTCACCGAGGCTATCTACCAGGAGCACAACCCCGCCAAGCTGGCCGAAGTGGAGTCTTCTTTGCAGAAGTTCAGGGATTACAAAGAAGCAGTGGGGTCGATGATCACGAAAGCCTGACATGACTTGACTCCTGATCCTGAGGATAGGCTCGTGGACAAGTACATCGAACGGCTGCCCGTGCTGTACCAGGCTCTACATCAGACTACGGGGAGCGTCGGGCATGGGCGTCTGGCAATAAAGCCAGATCCTGGAACCTTGAATGCGAAACAGTTGCTGCCCGACTGAACGTCGGGCAGTCACTATCAAACCCCTCAGCCAACTGATTGCTGTCGTGGAACTACAGGAGCAGTATGGAGCTGTAATATAAGATCAGGTATTGCGAAGAGATAGAAATAATAAATAAGAGAATGCCTGGACCTGTGCAGATGCACTAAAGCCGCTTTCTTTGCAGTCTTTAGCCGCCCCTTGCGTTGTCTGCAGTCCGTCTGCCAGAAGTACGAGGTCACGAGACACGGCAGCATCATGTGTTGGTGCGCGTTGGTTTGGTGTGTCTGCTAAGCGCTTGCGACCTACAGCATGCAATTAGGACGGTGCCTGCACGAACTGGCCTTCAACTATATTCCCCATGAGCTAGGCTGATCTGGGTTTTCTTGCACCACGTTAGAGCTCTGGCTCCAGGATTCTATCGTACTGTAGGGTTTAGGGTTTAAGCTTCTTGGGCTCTTGGTTTTCGGGGCTCTTAAGCCTGGTGGTGGCGGTGGTGTTTAACGACTACGAAGGCGGCGGCAGCGGATGTGTTCCTCTTCGAGTGCTGTTGGTACTGACGCAGGAACATGCAGGGCGTGCTGCTAGAACCCTCTCATCAAGACAACATCGCAAATCAAGCGTGATCTCGTTCTCCATTCCTGCTTAAATGGCTGAGTAGGTGCCTTCTTTGCATTTTCTGGCACATAGAATCTCCTCGAGAACAAAAGATTGGCCTTTGGGCGACATGACGGAGATACAAACCCTCAAGAGCGCAGATTTAGTCTTGCTTTCGGCGTTATCATGTCGAAGCTAGTAGCAACTGATAATATAGAGAGAGGCCTGAATAGTTTAATCATACTAATCCTCCGAATTTGGGATGGTCATGGCAATAATGAATACGAGCCCCAGGCCGCTGTTTATTGAGGTCACACATTAGATCCTCAATGCAGTGCCTGTAGCGTTCCAACGGCAGTCTGAAGTGTTATTGCAAACCCGAGGCCATTGCCTGAGCTGCTTGGCGCAGAGAGGACACAAAGCGTATCCAGGTTGCAGCGGGGTTTAGTGTTTAGCAGAACTCATCGTGGCTTGTTTGGATGGGTCCAGGTAGTATACCTCCTGCTGCGTTATGGTTTTTACTCGGCAGGGTTTCAGTCGTCGAGCGCTGGCAGTCTGCACAGAGCTCTTTTCAGAATCGACCCGGCTGCAGGGACATCCGGTGTAGCAGGAGAGATCATCAAAAGGAGTTGTTTTCTTTCACACACAAATCCTTGTCAGCGTGGAAAATTCGGCTCTTTGCTGAGCGGGTGGCCATGATTGTCGAGACCACACAGACTGGCATTCGCCCTGCTCGCCACAGATAGCCTTCCGTTTCTCTCCATCGCTCTCCCGTTATGTCGTGTCTACGAAGTCAGGACAGATGCTTGCACCGGAAGCCTGACGCTCATGAAACGGACCTTGAGCAGAGCTGCATGCTCCAACCAACCAGTGGGCTTCCTAAGCCACAAGCTTGGGCTGAACAGCCCGCGGTGAATGCACAACCCCATCTGTCGAATCCCAAGAAGATCTTTGACTCATGCATCGCACGAGCTTGACACGCCCAAACCCATGACACCTGTCTCACCGAAAACAAGACAGTCTTGCGTCAGACGCTACCTCGTGACCATCAGGCGAAAGCTGAAACGATTAAGCTCAAAGCTGTCAGTTCCAAGGCATCGTCCACGCTTGCTACGCAAAGCAGCGAGACTACAGCTCCATCCAAGCCGGAATCTTCTGCATCTCATCACTCACTTGCTTATGGAGCTGGAGGTTCAGCGGTTTCCGGTTGCAAGGACTTTCCTGTAATGCTTGCATCTTCATGAATGCCTGCGAAAAATCTGATGCTTTACTCAAATGCAAGTCTTCCGTCTCGGCAGTTCGAGCACTGTATATATCAAGCCCGAGACGCAACAGCTAGGTTCTCCTCAAGTAGCGCTTACAGCAGAGGTAGTGGCTTTCAAAAGCAATAGCCGTGACATGCATCAGCATCATGATAGCAAGAGCTGTAACTCGATGTATCATAATCACCCCCTAGAGCAGTAAATGCTCAAGTATTCTGAGCTCAGGCTCCACCAGAAAGCTCCGAAGCGAAGCCACGCACGGGAACCAGCTTCTTCACGCACCCTGGGCTTCTCTTAATCAAGGGTCTGAAGGATGAGGTCGCGGCTGCTGCGAAGTAGAGCAGAAACTGTAACCCCTCATAGTAATCGGGGCATTGCTCCGTCAAGCCGGTCTGAGTAAGCCTCGATGTAGTGTTGCAGCCAGGACAGCCTTCCAGGCTGTTTTCTTTTTTGTTGAGACGGCTGAGATCATGTTCAGCTGTTGGGCCTTGCGGGTGTGCAGATGGCTTTGTGGTTAAGATTGGCACTTGGGCAGAGGCTTTGGAGCTGCGCTAGCAGGAGCGGCATTGCAGGATCTACTGCTTAGGGATTGAAATCTAGCATTTGTGAGGTGTAGGTTTGCTCAAGCTGATGCTTTTTGGACCCAAGTGGCTGCAGGGCTTGTTTTTGCTTCTTCGAGTGAGGTTAGTCAGGAGTTCGGCAAATTGTATCTCAACATTGCGTGACGGATTGGGAGTACTGTGAATCACAACTGGTCCGGAACCCGAATACTGAGGCATTCAACACTGGATCCTGCACCTCCGCACATCCCAGTCTTAATCCAGTCTGCGAGATTTTGAATGTGTACGCATCCATAAATACATACATGAACAAGTATATGCATGTATGTGTATATGATACACACGCGCACACACGCACGCACGCGCACACACACACACACCCACACGCACACCCA